AAGTCTAGCGGGAAAATGGGAGTAAATATTTAGCAATATCTATCACCTGTAACTATTAAAATATAGAAATAGTTCAATTTTCTAGTACTGTGAAGCCTTGGATCTTTGATTTTGGGTGTTACCAATTTAAATATTTTATCAACATCATTATATGTATATAACAATTTAAATGATAATAGAAGGTAAAAATAGACTCAATAAATTCTTAGTCACTTTCATTTTAAGATTATTTTTTTGAAAGGTGGAGACACAGAAAAATCTCCAATCCACTGGTTTTCTCCCCAAAAGGCCTCAATAGTTGGGGCTGAACTAGGCCAAAGGTGGGAAAAGAGGAGCTTATTCTAATTTCCCATATGGGAGCAGGCACCAAACATTTGGGCCATCTTCCACAGTTTTCTCAAGCACGTGAGCATGGCGCTGAACTAACTGAGGAGCTGCACATTTGAGCTAGCACCTATACAGGTGGCTTTACCTACTATGTTTCTTTTTAAATTTCTCCTTTTGTAATGATTTATCCTTATTAATTTTTTGTATTTTCCATAGCTTTAAAAAAACGCCAAGTACCAATAAGAAGTAAACTTGGTAAAATATTTTTTGCCAAGTACTAAAGGATATACCAGGTCTGTAGTCTGCCTTCCATGTGGTAACAAAGGACATAAGCTTTCCACCTTATATTGCTTTTTGTTTTTTTCCCCCTTGGATCCTCCATATTCGAAGTAGCTAAAAACTCCATAGTTTAGAATTTTAATGGCAGCTGCATACATCCAGATTTGTGATCATCTAAACTGCCATAACAGAGATAATCTAAACTTAGAAACCAAGAACATAAAAATAATTTTATCTTAGCAATTGTTGAGATAAGTCGCAGTGTAAGTCTGCTCCATGTAATCATCTAAAGTGACAGCTCTTCCCATTTTGTAGTCAAACAATTTCTAACACATTTTGGTCTTCACTTGAAGTACATCCTATCAACTAGGATGCAAAGTTGTACAAGTCCAAAGTGAAAACTGGAAAGTACTTAAGCTGCTACCTCACTTCTGTACACATCTCGTGTTTTCTAACTTAATCAGACTACACTGAGCTGAAATGGTGGCTAGGGAGTACACTGCTACCTGCACAGTCACTTTCCAATGAAAATTTTTTCCTGTTGCAGAAGTATTATTTGAATAAACAAAGCTAGGACTCTGAAGGAGTCTATTATATTTATCCATCATTTTCTGCTATTTGACAATTACCTAATTGTTCCATTTTCCAATTTTTGATTTAGAAAATTATTCTAAAAATTTCCCCTTGGTGTTTGTGTATCATTTATGCCACACTGAAACCACAGTTCTTTGCCATGGTCCCTCTCACTGTTCTTTCTCCCCTTATCTTCATCAGTTAGAAATGCAGTAATTCCACTGGACAGCTTTAAGTGCTACTAGCCCTTAGATAGCACACTTTGGGCAGCATAGTCAGAGGCCTATTTATTTGAAAGAACAGTTACTGATGAAGGGAGGAAGATGCTGCCTTCACCAATACCAGGATTTTTCTCTCCAGCTCTAATAATAGGAATGCATTTTCACATTGCACTTTTTTTGATCATCTGAACAATCTAATAACTGCTTTTTATAATTTGCTGTGCTTATTCTAAACACACTAGGCAATGTTTTAGCCTCCTACAATCTTAAATATTTAGTAGGATAAGAATTCATGATCATACTTTTCCCTATATAGAATGTATACAAATATCCTGGGCAATATGAGGAAAGCGAGACAAATTTTCAAAACTCTTTAAATTGGAAATAGTGCACTATAAATTGGCTCTTCCCCAGGTAAAATAGATGATCAACTTTCTCTCTGCCTTTTTTTGAAGTTATTTTTAATGTATAGTCCTTACTGTCTTGTTTCTATTTCACATACCAGTGATATACTAGATACTTATAATGATGAGACCTATATGATTTCCCCAAAGTACAATCACAACGTTCATAGACAACCGACGACAGGCCCTTCTGTTCTTTCCTTCCAATCTAAACATTTGGCATCTATTCCCATCCTCAGCCCTTAAACTGTTTAGCATTTAATATCAAGTAATTTTCATGCTACTTTTAATTAGTAATTTAATTAATCTGAAATAAAATCCAGGTTGAATACATTGTTTCATATAATTTTAAGTTAAGTAGCTTATTTAGAGGAAAATGTACTATAAATATTTATAGGTGCTTATGCAATATTTAAAATGCATTAATTGAAGAAGAAACCTCAGTGTTAAGTTGCTGTTTACAGTGCCCACATCCCATATCAGAGTACCTGATTGAGGTCAACCTCCTCCACTCTTACCCAGCTTCTTGCTCCTGTGTATCCAGGGGAGTGGCAGACCATGCCTCGAGTCTTTGGTCTCTTCTACCCATTTGGAAGATAAGGATGGGTTCCTGACTCCTAGCTTCACTTAGCAGAGCCTTGGGCTATGTGCTCATTCTCTGTCTTTCCGCTTCCTCCCTCCCTCATTCAAACACACTCAAATAAAAACAATAAACAAAATGTTCTAAATATATGAATGATCTAAATATTAAATTAATTTTGGTTTTTGTATATTTTTGAAGGATAAGCTACTCATTTAAATAGTATGTAATATTCCTGTAAGGGATTCATTCTGTTGTTCTTTGAATAAATACTGAGAAATGCTTGTGTGCCAGATATTATTCTGCAAAACCAACCTGGAACAATGAATGTCAGTAAATGTAAAAGAGGCCAATTTCCAATATCAAGGAGTTATTATAGACATGAAAAATAACCGCTACATAAATAAGCAAATTGTGCTTGTTTTTCTTTAAATACTACTACAGTGGCAATCAATCAATAAACACTAAATGAACGAAACAAGGTAAAGGTGGGTGAATATTAGTGTAACTAGAAAAATCATGGAAATCTCACAAGAGACCTTTCCATGGAATCTCAAAGAATGAAAGAGGCAGATGAGCACATAGGAATAGTACATTTCAGGTAGTAAGAGCAAAAATTCAGAAGATCTTAAACAACTGTCATGTTCAGGGAAATATCTAAGGACCCAGTGTGACTTGAGAGAGTGAGCAAAGGAGAATGTGGTAGAAAGCCACATCTAAAAAATATTTTCCAGATTGTGTGTCAAAAAACAAGGACTTTTGATTTTTTTTTTTTTAATATGGGTAAGTACTTTGGGCCTTGAGTAGAAGACTCATAACCTAATTTACATGTGTAAGAATCTTTGATTGCTAAGGAGATAGTAGAAACAGCAAGCAGAGCATAGAGGCAAGTTAGAAGGAGATGGAATTCATTCATGTGAGAGATAGTAATTATTTTAATCATTTTTGGAGATATGAGGGCATGTTCAGATTCTGGATATATTTCACAGGTGAAAGAACTTACTGTTGGATTAAACATTAGATGTGATTAGAAAAAGAAGGATACAAGACTTTTGCCATGAGTAATACCAACTAAGGTGAAATCACTGATAAAGCTGAGAAAAATGCAAAAGGAACAACTCTGAGTTGGGAATAAATGTTTCTGAATTTTGATATGTTAAGTTCAAAATGCAAATGGAAATGTGTGTCAGGCAGTAGGATACATAAATCCAAAACAAAGGGAAGGTGTGAAGAGCGGTTGATAACCTGAGAGTTCAGTGTTATGAAAGGCATCACATCAGAGGAGGCGGACTGAGAAATAAGTTGAATTAAGAAATGGAAAAATTCTAACTCCAGAGACCCAGTGGTCTTCAGGGTTAAGTGGTGAGGAAAAAGAGAAATAAATAGAAAAGAAATAAGGAAATGAGGTGACTGAAGAGCAAATGAGGCATTTGAAGGAGCAAGAATTGATCAACTGTGTTAAATGGTACTGAAGTAAAATGAAGACGAAACTTTGATCATTGGAGTTGAAAATGTCAAGATGTTTACAAAAGCTGTTGCAGCTGAACAAGGGGAACAACAGCCTGATTAAATATCTTCAGAAACTCAAGGAAAGTCATTAAGAACAAAGATGGAGGATTAGAGTTTTGTACAATAGTTAAGTCACTGTTCCTCCACTTCGGACCCAGCTTCCTGCTAATCTACCCCCACAAGAAACAACTTGTGACCACTGTGGGAGATGTGGACAGAGCTCCTGGCCTCTACATTGGCCTGGTTCACACTTACCTGTTTTGGACATTTAGGAAGTAAACCAACTGATGAAGGCTTTCCATCTTTCTGTCTCTAATTTCCAATTAAAATGAAAATAAATTAAAAAAATTTTTAAATATGAGTAAAAATGCTTTTCAAGAAGTTTTGCAAAAGAATGTACATGGAATTAGTTGCTAAGAGGAAATTTCTGGACTAAAAAGGTTTTTACAGACTGGAGTTATAGAGAAGGTATTTGAATATGAATAGCAATGTTGTCTTAAAGGTGTAAACTAATTCTGAAAGAAAGTGAAGACAATTTTAAAGAGACATTAACTATCCTTTGAATAAAGATGGAGAAAGAATGACATTTATTGAAATATGGAAACATTTAAACAAATATTGAGTGAGAAGAAATGGTTTATATATTTGGGAGGTTCACAGACTTGCTGCACCAGCAATCATAAAGTGCAGGCTAAATACAGTATCAGTACTGGAGATTAAAGATGGATTTTTTTAAGGTAATGACAGTAAGAGCCACAGATAATAGACCAAATTGCCATTACATATAGCACATTTTCTTGGAAACAGATCTATTGTAACTCTCTTTTGCAAATGTTTTGAAATATTGTACTTGACTCTTAAGGAAATTTTGATTACATTGAAAGAAAAAAAAAGAAAAAAAAAAGTACCAAAAAGTCGAGAAAAGAAAAACCAGAGCACTTCTTGTTAAGAACTTGCATTTTCTTATGCAGTATGTCTTTTGGATTGTGTTTTATTCCTAGAAATGTGATGTTTTACTTTAGCAAACATTTTGCTTTCACATTCCATGAGTGTATCTGTTGATTCATCTTAATTTCAATAACTGATGGCTGTCTAAATCTGTTTCAGTGTGCCTGAGTACTATGACTACGGTCACGGAGTAAGTGAGGATGCCTATGACAGCTACGGTGAGACCTTTTCTTAAACTGTGAAATCAGAACATCCATCAGTCACTGACAACTCAGAAATTACTTTTATCTTTCTATCCCCTCCCCCTAGGTTTTACAGAAGTACAGACTAAATTGATTTATGTAATTCCAGGGAGAGATTTGACTTACAAAACCAGTACCAGAAAATGGACAGATCAATTTTGACAAAAATTTCAAAAGCCATTAATCAAAATCACAATGATTTTTCAACAGCCACAGTAAGCATTCTGACATGTGTCTTAGAAGTTTCACCAAATTTCTTGTCGGAGTTGATACAGTAATAATGAGCCTCATTCTGATGCTACACCAGAGTGATAAGTTTTTAAATTAGTTTACATTTTTTTAAGGGAAGAACTGTAAAATTTTCAAGTTGTTCTAGTATGCACAACTTTTAAAAGATAGTTTTATTTAAAGTGCAAAGAGAAAAACAGAGGGAGAGGGTGATGGGAGTTGAGGGAAAGAGAAAGAAGACCTAAGAGTGATCTTCCATTTGTTAGTTCACTTTCCAAATGCCCTCAGTGGCAGGGCTGGGACAAGCAAAAGCTATGAATTCAGTCTGGGTCTCCTGTGTGGTTGAAAACATCCCAAGCATGTGTGCCATCTACTTCTGCTTTCCAAAGGACCATTAGCAAGGAGGGAGATGAGAATTAGAACACCTGGGACTCAAGCCAGCACTTATCTGGAATGCCAGTGTTTCAGACTATGGCTTAACCCATTGCTCCTCAATGCTGGCCCTCAAAAAAATGTCAAATAATGCCTGACTCGGGATAATTAAAATTCAGTAAGCTGGCTGGTCAAGAAAATAAATTAATTTCAAATATATATTCTTCAATTAAAATACCTCTTCAAATTTATCACACTTTTATACAGTTAAGAAATGTTGACAGCTCATGAGATATCAGTAGAGTACATCATTTTTTGAGAGCTGGTTTCTGGTTCTTTAAAAATGCATAGTCAGCCATTATTCATTCTGAGCAATTAGTCATCTATGTTGACACATTTGGATTTTTATTAAGATTATACCAAGGGATGTTCAGTTCCTCTCACTGGAGAGCAAGAGAGGAGATGATAAACCTTGCCTGTGTTTTGGGGGACCACAAATGATAAAGGCATGGTGATCTGTGAGGATGAAGTGTGCTTTTTAGCTGAGGGAAGGTTAGTGTATTTTCCTTGGAAAAAGTTATACCCCCAAGCACAGAAGCAGAAGCAAAACAATAAACCATCTATACAACTGCTGGTGATCACAGGCTGATTATTTACCTATAACTTCTCATTTATATCTTTACAGTGAATTGAAAATATTACACATGTCTATACTTTTATGAGGAAGCTGAACAAAGGTGAAATCAATGTGAAAGTTTAACTGAGGCTCAACTTTAATTTCTCAGCAGTAACTGGAGAAATTATCCATTGCTGCACTACACATGAAGTACCTTTCCCGATTCTCTATCCTTGACAATTTACAGTGAGGATGAGGGGTATGGGAATAATGATTGTTGCAAATGATATCTGTGTCTACATAAAGTCTCTTCAAAAATTTCATTAAAATGTTACAAAAAAAAGTATGAATGAACTTCAAAACTATGTTTTGTAACAAAGTAATCTTTAAATTCCATTTCGTGGGAACTTTTTGAAGTGCCCTTAATAGAAGAATATGCATATTGTCATCTGAATTGCACAGATGAGGAACTCAGGCTGGAGCATTAAGCACTGACTTTGTTTGAAGATTAGTAAGAATGTGAATTCTAATCTTTTCCCCTCATCAACAAGTAGAAGAGTTCTGTAGACTTGGGAAAAAGAACAAAATCTGGTACTTAGGCCTCTTATTTCAAAGGAAAGGTGTTCATCTCAGCAATCCTCCCATATTTTATTTCATTATTCTCAGGTAAAGGAGGTCAGTTACACTATTTTACTGGAAAAAAAATTAAGCCAAAATGAGCACCTGGCTCACACTTCCAAATTACAGTGTCTGTATCAAAATGACCCCATCTTTGGCTGCCATCAGAGCTAGTCTATTCTATCATAGGAAAAAGAGCAAAGTTTCAGATATTAATATGTAAAAAAAATTATGGATGCATTTTCACAGGGTTTTCTCAATTGGTGACATACACAGTAAGGCTTTAATTTTGTTCCCTACGTATTTTTCACTCATTAGAAGGAAGAGATCATAGATATCAGATGACATTTAATAATAAACCAGCATCTAAATCTATGGCTACCCCAACTCCACTACTAGTGCCAGTCAGTCTGAGCATCTGACATCATCTAGCATTCCTGAGCACCTACACCAACCACAGTGGCACCTAGAGTTCCACACAGCAGTACCGTAAGATACAATCTCTGCCCTTTCCTTAATACTTTTAACTTCTTGCATAAAGGCATTGCTTGTCTCTAGGAATACTATCGTGTGCAAAATAGATATCCTCTACCCACCGCCAGTTCCCAAAGCACTGTAAATTTATAGAATTCTGTGTAAAGTCCAAAGGACATTATTCATTTACTGATATTTACTTTATGGCAATTATGTGTACCTTGTACCTCATTGTTTCCAATTCTGGTGACAAATACTGCAGTGAAGAAATCTTAAAGCTATAATTCTAGTGTGAGCCATCATTTTAATTAATGCCTTTAAATGAAAACGTTCATGAACTGAAGTCATTCCATTTTTCCTCTTTGTATATCATTATCAGGAAAATGACACTTCACAAAATTACAGGAACTAAAATAAAGGGCAGGAGTCATTGACACCTAATGGGTATCGTATCCTAATGTAGAGTTAGAAGAAAAAAAAGCAAGAGACAGTAAAAATTCTGCAACATAATCTTGAAGCCCAATCAGATTAGAATGTACCTTGTGAACTCAGATTTTGGTTTAAGGTATTGGATACTAAGTGATTAAGTGTTAGGACATAGGCTCCTCATCACGATGGGCAGATGGCACGGTGTATATATACAGGTAGTGTAATGATTTGAGAAGCCTCACAGGTCAAATAGATCAATGCTTTTCAATAATTTTCTGCACCTCACATGCTAACTAGTATTTTCTTCCAAAATGTAAGTCTTGAATCTCACCATTCTTTTCCATTCCTAATAACTCCTCATTCAGGCTTCAGTCAGAAATCAAAGTATTTTCTATTATATTAATATTAAATATTAAACTATTTTCTTAAAACAATAAAATGTTTAACTTAATGATTAGATAATTTAAATATTTCAATATGACCGTATTTATTAAAATAGTGTTAAACAGTCAATGAGTATATGCTTATTCACTAGGTAGTAGATGGCAAAAATATTTGTGTGTATTTAAATGTTATATATTTAATCATTTAAATGCATCTTAACAATGAATAAATATTTAGCCCACAGGAATTTCATGTCAACTTCTGTATGTTAAAATATTTCCTAATTTATCTACATTCTATCCAAGACTGACAGCTAAGAAGGGACAGCTATGTTATCTTTGTAGAGAAAAGCGCTGCTTATTAAAATCTATTTAATGTATGTACTGAAGAGCCAATTATGCATCATTCTTTTGCGGCATTTTAGATGACAGCTGTGTGGAAGCAAGGAGGATAATATTAACACACTGGAATTGAATGAAAGCATTTACAAAAAACAAATGTACAACATTCTAGAACATTTGAGTGCCTCACTTCAAGTCAATTGCAGAACATGAACATATTTATTTTGCATTGAAGAGTTGGAATGATCATTATCCCAGTGTGAAAAAATAAGCCCTGCATTGATTAATCTGTGAAAATAGCAAAAGAGAAGTGACAGCTTGTGATTCCAGAACAAAGCCTGTCTGTCTTTACTAGTAAATAGAAATTTAAAACTCATTTTACAAGGGGAAATTGTTAATAAAGATTGGCTGATGAGTTTATCCTTTAAAATGTGTAAATAGCCTATTTTGGTATGATTTACTAATATTGATAGGGTATAAGAAAAATCTTGCTGTTATTTAATTTTTAATACAGAATTTTTTTCTACACTGTTTTACTTCACTTTTTTACTTTGCTTTTCTACTTGAAAGGCAAAGAAAGAGTCCCACATATTGATTTACTCCCCAAAACATTGCAACACCCAGGGTCAGGTTAGGTCAGGTCAGGTCAGGTCAGGCTCACGCTTGCAGCCAGGAATCTGGAACCCTTTCCAAGACTCACACATGTGCAGTAGGTACCCAGTTGCTTAAATTACCATATTCTGCCTCTGACAAAGTGCATTAGTAGTAAACTGAAATTCAGAGTTAGCTGTGTGGTTCCACCATAAAGTTGAAAATAAAATTTAGGGGCCTGTTGCAGTAGCTAACATACTCTCATTGCACATGCCAGGATCCGATATGGGTGTCGGTTCTAATTCCAGTGGACTCACTTCCCACCCAGCTCCCTGCCTGTGGCCTGAGAAGGCAGTCGAGGATGGCCCTAAGCCTTGGGACCCTGCATCCATGTGGGAGACTGGGAAGAGGTTCTGGACTCACGGCTTCAGATCTGCGAAGCTCCAGCCGTTGTGGCTGCTTGGGGAGTAAATCAATGGACAGAGGACCTTCCTCTCTGTATATCTGACTTTTCAATAAAAATAAAAAAAAATAAAATGTAGGCAGATATATGCATGAAGGCAAAATGAAAAGTAGTCTATGAATATATAATATTATAGAGAATATATAATATTCCTCCTTTAATAGCTTTATCATTTCTCTCAATGACAATGTCAAATTATTCATGACATATATGTTTTCCTGCCAATTTTTGCTGCTCATAAACACTCAGAAAGTGATCAGTCAAATCCGTGACAGGCATTTGCATCCTTAAGATAACACACAATTTATGCACAACTCCTTTTATAACAATAAGTAACATATAAACAAAAATAAGAACTTGGTATTTTAAAACTGTACCTAATGAAAAGCATAATTTACTCACTTGAAATCATAGTTTGTTGAACAGCTGAATCTCAAAATTAACTTTCTCTGGCCCAGTG